CCAGCACTCACCTACTTCTGGCCATTCTCTCAGCCACCCATCCTCAAGCCACTCCCCTCTTCACGAATTAATAAAACCTGGGCTTGGCCCTGGGTGGAGGCCGTTGTTCTAGTTCGCCATTGTCCTAGCTGGGCTTGGGACCCCTTGGCTTCCCCTAATTATAAATATGCCTTAGTGTTTTTATTCTCACCAGGGGTTGCACTGGAAGTGCTAGATTGGAAGTAACTCGCTAGAATTTCCATAACTGCCCCATGGGATTACGCACAGAAGCGTACTGGGCCAAGATGAGGACCAGCAAGGGCTCCCTATAAACGTACACAAACACATTTTTATATACTGGTATTATGGAAAATGACATAGCTATTTTTAAAAAAGCGCATTAAACCTGCCTTTATAGACATGAAATAATGTTTCTGATATACTGATGAATGAAGAAGCCAAGTTAGAGAAAAATCTCTTCTGTATCATTGATACAAACAATATAATATATAAATATATACACGTGCACAGGGCCACACACAAGTAGCTATTTTCATGTGCACAGAAAAAATTTAAAGTGTATGGAACAATTTCATTTCTGTTACATATGCAATTGGGAGTGGGAGGGAGGGATAAGACTGTTCTTGAGACAGGGTCTCACTATGTAGTTCCGTCTGGCCTTGAACTCAGCAATCCTCTTGCCTCCGCCTCGAGTGCCGGGACTGCAGGTGTGCCCCACCACGCCCAGCTAGACTTTCACATTACATTTCATATGTGTATGAAATATTTCTTTTAACAAAGCACATTTATGATTATGATTATTATTATTATTATAATATATTTTTTGGCAGAACTGGGGATTGAACTCAGGCCCTTGTGCTTGCCAGGGAAGCACTTATTCCACTGAGCCATCTCCCTGGCCCCAAGCACATTTATTATTGTTAGAGTTAAAATTTTAACTTAAGTATAAGCATATAGTTGTATCATTAGTAATAAAACATTGACTCAAGGACCAGCTCAGTGGCACAGCACCTGCCTGGCAAGCATGAGGTTGTGAGTTTGATTCCTGTACAAAAGAAAACATTTGACTCAATACTAAGTAATAAAGCAACTTGTAGATGCTGATGAAGAAAACTGCTGTGGTCATTACGATTTGAGGGGGTGGGGTAGGAGTGTGTGTATGAGAGAAAGAATAAGTTTGGATGCTGATAGGATGAAAAAATAAAACTGTATGAGGTAGGAGTTGCTGCCTGGGGGGCTGCCAGAGATACAAGGAGGCAGCGAGCTGCGTTACCTGGAGCCAGCACAGTGGAAACCCATGCTAACAGAGTGTTTAAGGCCGAGGGAAAGGCAAATACCAAGATCCAAGGCGGGAGCACACTGGGTACAGTCAAGGAAGAGAACTAAGGCCAGTGGCTAGCGCTTGGCACAGAGCCCCACGCCAAGGGACCAGAAAGGAAGGCAGACACTGGACCACACACACATGGGCTGCAGTGCACCGGAAAGGCTTTCCTACGCAGTTTAAATAAAGCTTTCTCCTTACGCTGAAGATTCCGAGTTTCCCATAGTATAGAAGCTGCTCGTACTTTACTGACTCAGCTCTTTAAACCAAGCTACGATGAAGGTGCCCTGGGAGGCACGAGTCGGCTGCGAGCAGGCCCACTGGCAGCGCGGCACGATGGCCCCACAGCTTTACGTTTCTTTAGTCTGTATGTACATAGCGAAGCTTTGAGATGTACGCACGTGCGTGCACACACACACCATGCACACACAATACACACTAGAAAGAAAACCAACTGATGATATATTAACAGGACTTCAGAAAGAGAAGAGAGTTGTGTAGCTCAGCTGAGAACGTGTTCTTGGGCAAGTGTGAAGCCCTGGTGTCAATCCCCAGCCCGGGTGCTATGGTATGATTTTGAATCATTTTAAAAACTTAAATCACATCCTCTGATCCAAAATCTCCAATGGCTTCACAGATAACTTGGGGGAAAACATCTAAGATCTTCTCATGGCCTGTGATGGTCCGGTGGGGCCTGGTGCTTGAGTCCTGCCCAGCACCACCGAGGACCAGGCTCCATCTCTCAGCACCAAGCGGATGAGGGTTAGGAAGTCCTCACTCGCTGTTCCCTCAGCCGGGCACCTGCTCCCTGGCCAGCTCTGCAGCTCGCGGGCCGCACCCCACGCCCGCCATCCTGTCCCCTCTTCCTGTGCCTCGCTGCATTCATCCGCCCAGTGTGGTCTGCGAGAACGTTTAGTATACAACCCTTAAAGAGGATGTAAGTTATGCAGGAGCAAGGACTGTCTTATATTCTGCCACATCCCTAATGCTGAGGTAAGCATTCAGACAATGCACACATGTGGAGTACATCTGTTGAATGAATGACACAGAAGAATGACTTTATATGTTAAACCAAGTGGGAATGCAAAATTGTATAGTAGCAATTCCATTATCAGGATACCCATTAAAGAATCTAAAATAAAAGGCATAAAGTCTGGTATGGTGGCATGTGTTTGTAATCCCAGCACTCTGGGAGGCTGAAGCAGTAGGACAGGAAGTCTGAGCTCAGCCCAGGCAACTTAGACATTTAGCAAGACTGTGCCAAAATGAACTAAGAAATACAGAGGCTGAGGATGTAACCCAGCCCAAAGGCCCTGGGCTCAATCTGCATACTACGAGAGAGAGAGAGAGAGAGAGAGAGAGAGAGAGAGAGAGAGAGAGAGACAGAGAGAGAGAGACAGAGAGAGATGGGGGAAGGGGCAGAGAAAGAGAGAGACAGAGAAGAGAGATGGGGAAGGGAGACAGAGACAGCGAGATGGGGGGAGGGAGACAGAGAGAGGAGAGGGAGAGAGAGACAGAGAGACAGAGAGAGAGACAGAGACAGAGAGAGACAGAGAGAGATGGGGGAAGGGGGAGAGAGAGGAGAGAGGGGGAGAGAGAGAGACAGAAGAGAGATGGGGGAACGGGGAGAGAAAGAGAGAGACAGAGAGAGAAGAAAATAAAGATGTACATCAAAAGGTTAAGTGTTACAGGTACTTTCTACACCTGATTTCTACTTTTTATAACAAGAGGGAAAAAAGTATGTGTTTTTAAAAAAGAAGGAACCTACCAGTCCATTTAAGTTCTTTATGTTGTTTCTTCCTAAAGACAATATCCTCAAGTTTTCTGTAGCGGAAAGAAAGCATTTTTCCTGATGAGAATCACATTATACAACTGTAGATCTAGCACAATGACGCTTTAATAAATTTTATATAATAAATATCTTTGTAAATAAGTAAAAAAAGTTGTATTAGTAAAAGTAATTAATTAGGAAGGAAATACCATTGACCAATCTAAAATAAGCACTACACCTATAATTGTACACCACGACAAAATTAATTTTAAAATGAGTTAGTTACTTAGAATGCATGGTCTTCGATGGTTGGCTAATAAAAGTATTATAGAAATAAGAGTAAAGACTTTACATTTAAATTTAGGAGTATATATATTTCAAATATATGTGAGTTTATAGTATAAGAACTCAGGTGGAAAATAAAAACATATTTATGTGTAGTCCATAATTATGTCATAAAGAATTAAGAAAAATGAAATAAATGTAAAAATTTAAATATTTAAACTTTAAATTTAAAAATATTTAAATAATTTAAAAATCTTTTGTTTTCAATCTTTCTTCTTTGTTTTGTTTTGGTCCTGGAGATCAGACCCACGGCCTTCACACCGAGCCGCATCCCCAGCCATTTTTTTTTTTATTTCTTTCTTTGTCATAAACTGCCCAGGCTGTGCTTGAATTTATGATCCTCCTGCTTCAGCTGCCCAGAGAACAGGGATTAGAGGTATCATGCCCATCTGTTTTCAATTTTAAAACTAATTAGATTGTGATTTACCTAACAAAATGCCTGTTTACATTTTTAAAAGAATGCTTCTATTGGTACAGCTATGGGCTACTTCTGGAGGAGAAAGAGGAAAGAAAGAAATAATGGTTGCCTGTAGGAAGAAACTCGGAGCCCATGGTCGTAACACTTAGGTTTTGTAGAATCTCTTTTGCATCATTTGAATAAAACCATGTGTTTATATTACATTTCCAAGTTAAAGAAAAAGGATTTCTAGTGCAGTACAGGAAACCACATTTCTGCTGCAGGAATGTACTGGGATCCCTTTTATATAAGTAAAACCCTAAGTCTTCACCACTTAAGCTCCTTGTCTAATATGGTAGTCACTACTTACATGTGGCTGTTTTGTTTTGTTTCTGTGAGACAGGGTCTCCCTATGTAATTCATGCTGGCCTTGAAATCACTACAGCCTCTAACTCCTGACAGTCTTCCTGCCCCAGCCTCTGGAGTGCTGGGACCACAGGGGTGAGCCATACCCAGCTACATGGAGCTATTTAATTAAAGTCAATTTTTATTTATTTATTTTTTGCAGTACCAGAGATTGAACTCAGGACCCTGCGTTTGCCAGGCAGGTACTTATTCTACTGAGCTATCTCCCCAGCTAAAGTAAATTTTTAAATTAAAATTTTAGTTTCTCAGTTATATTAACCACAGTTCAAGGAACTAATCACCATATTTAGCTAGTAGCAACCATATAGGGAGATTGCAGATTGTTCTGTTGAATGTCATATTCTGCAACAACCATAATTCAATGGTGAGAAATAGATCCAGTTAACTCCCAGCTGTCTGGGGAAGCATCAGAACCTCTTAAATCTCATTTTTACCATATGTATAATGGGGAAATATAGCATCTATAAGGATAATTGTGGTGCGGTGGTACATGCCTATAATCCCAGCACTTGAAGCAGAGGCAGATCACAAGTTTGAGTTCAGCCTGGGAAACTTAGCAGTTTTGAGAGAGCTATATCAAAATTTTAAAAAAAGCAATTTGAGGATGGGGACAGACTCAGTGGCAGAATACTCACTTTGCACACACAAGGCCCTGGGTTCAAGGCCCAGGATCGGTTATTA